CTAGTATTTCTACCCATAAGTAATAGAGTTTACTATTATTTATTTATTATTTATTTGTTAATATTTATTATTTTTCATTATAGTTATTTCAGATTTTTTATATTTCAAAAAATTATATTTGTGGGGATAATTAAATTAAAATTAGTAAATCAGATGATGATTCAAACACTATTTCTTTGGTATGATACTATTTATTCATATTTCCTAGCATACTTTTTTCCAGTATCTTGATTCCCCATCTGAAGTGTCCTGGTCTGAATTACTGCAAAATTATCTGTGAAGAAACATATATTCTGTGATGACCAGATATGGGGATGATTGCAGGGAAAGTAAAGCTCAGAGAGGTAGAGACTATAGTATAGGTGAGTAGGAAATATATGGAGAGATAAAAGAAAATAGAGATGATCATGACAGATATAAGGAATTTGATGGGAAGAACATGAGAGATAATGAGAATAAAGAAAGATTCATAAAAGTTTTAGTGAGGAATTTCCAAGCCTAATGACTGCTTCAAAACACTTTCAAGAAACACTCTGAATCGCAAGTGTAATAAATAACAAAAATCACAGCCAGTAATCTTATTAGCACTAGCAAAACTGAAACACAAGGAAGATACTCTAAAAGAGCTACAGAAAAAAAATTACACTACTATCAAATGTACAGCAATGAGATCAGCATCTAATTATCTAACAAATATGAGGAAACCAAAATGGAAATATGTTCTTATACTAGCTATCAACTTAAAACTTTATACCTAGTTAACATGTCATCCAAAAGATCAAGTGAGAGCATATGCACACTAAAAAGTCAAGAGTTTCACTGCCATCAGACCTACATCAAGGAATAAATGAAAGCTTTCAATAAGAAGGAGAATTATCTCAAGAAGAAATAAGAAAATGACAGAAGGTGTGAAAGGCAATGGGGAATGCATCTATATTTAAATAATTGTTGACACGGTAAAACAATAATAATTAAGTTTCATGGGGTTTTTAAAAGGAATTTTAAAGAAAATATGGAAATAACAGCACAATGTATGGAATTATATAAGTCAACATCATTTGTAGAGGCACTGTAATAACAAAATAATGGAACAAATAAATCTCTGGCCAGAGAATGGATAACTAAATCATGCTGAGGTTAGAATATGAAGTGGAAATGAATGAGTGATGGGAATACATATCATCATATGTATACATCCTAGAACCAAAATACATCCTAGAACAAAGGTTGATTGTAAAAAGCAAGTTGCAGATGACTACATATATTATGACAGCATTTTCATAAAGATTAAAGATCTAATGATATACTATTTAAGGGTACTTGAAAATAAAGAAGTAGTAAAACAAAATTCAGCAATGTAGCAAGATACAAAATCAACATGCAAACATCCATAGTGTTTTTGTATAGTAATAATGAATCTACTGAGAAACAAATTAGGGAAATAATACCTTAAAATTAAATATTTAGGAATTAACCCAATTAAGGAAATAAAAGACAAATATAAAGTAAGCTATAGTCCTCTGAAAAAGGAGATGGAAGAAGACCTCAGGAAATGGTAAGACATTCCCTGTCTCTGGACAGGCAGAACCAATATTGTCAATGTGACCATATTACCAAAGCTGGTACATAGATTTATTGCAATCCTAATCAAAGTACCAAAAACATTCTTCAGAAAACTAGAAAAAAAATCCTAAAATTTGTGTGGAAACAGAAGAGATTTTGAAGGACAAAACCAGTCCTAGGCAAGAAGCCCAAAGCAGTAGCCATCACAGTCCCAGAGTTCAAATTAAATCACAAAGTTAGAGTGAAAAAAGCAACATGATACTGGCAGAAAAACAGATGTGCAGATCAACAGAAGACTATAAAGGATGTAAAAACAACCCCAGGTACATTCAGCCACCTGAGATTTGCAAAGGGGACCAAAGAATATATACTGTAGGAAAGATAGCCTCTTTAATAAATAGTATTGGTGAAATTGACAACACATGTAGAGAGGACTGAACCTACCCCCATATCTGCTGTACATACTAAGATAAAATCAAAATAAAAAATATCTAAATATTAAAACAGAAACACTCTTTTTAATTTTTTTATTTTAAAAATAAAAAAACTAACAAAACAACAATGAAGACAAAATCAAAACAACACAAAAACAACAACAATAATACATGACCTCAAAACAAGATGATAGGAATTAACAATGGTTGCTACACTGCATACTGTTATCTTCAGTGAAGTTGCTCAGTCCACCAGACATAAGAATGTAAGATTGATCAAACAATTAAAGACAGTAACAAGTAATAATAATAAAAAAGACAACACTGGAAATGATGCAGAGCTTCCACACACAAGATGGCAGGAGTTCAACAATGGTTCTCATACTGCATACTGTTGTTTTCAGATCAGCCATTCTGATTACCAAATTCAAAATTGGTCAAGAGAAAAGAAAATTTTAAGCACTGACTGTTCCTTTCAATAAACCACAGACATCAGCATTACACCTAGTCCAGTTATCCTTATATATGTACATATAAATTTTATTTTTTCATTTAAAAAGGCCAAAATACCAAAAACAAATACATAAATGAAAGAACATAGAGAACAATAATACAGAATTTCAAAGCGTGGTGATAGGATATTAACAATGGTTGTTATAGTACCTAATGTCATCTTCAAAATGGTTGCACATATAACCAGATATAGGCATGCAAGATTGATCAAAAATTACATATTTATAGTTCCTTTGGATAAACCAACAGATATTAACACTCTTCATCTATAGGAAAATGAAATAAGTACACCTCATGAAGATGTAGGCATAGGCAAGGACTTCCTGAATAAAACACCAATTGCAGAAGAAACATCAAGAACCAACAAATGACACTGTATCAAAGAAAGAAAAAGAAACTTCTGCACAGCAAAGGAAACAACAGAGTAAAGAGACAACCTACAGCATGGGAAAAATTTGCCAGGTACACCTCAGATAGAGGATTAATATCTAGAATAGATAAGGAACTCAGAGTATTAGACCTCCAAAATAAATGACCTAGCCAAAAAAATGGGCAACTGAAATGAAAAGACACTTCTCAGAAGATATACAAATGGCCAATAAATACTGCAAAACAGGCTCAACATCTCTGAAATTAGGGAAATGCAATTTAAAGTAGGTCAGATTTCATATTACTCCAAAAAATGGTTGTCATCAAAAAGTCAAATAACAAGTACTGATGAGGTTCCAGAGACAAGGAACACTTCTATGTTGCTGGTATACTTTACAACCACTGTAGAAGTCAGTACAGAAGTCAGTTTCTCAAAGTATGATAACTAGAAATTGGATCAGCAATTCCCTGCTAGATATCTTCCTGTAAGAGTAAAGATATCATATTGCAGTGACACATGACTACCTGTATTAATAGCAGCACAACTCATAATAGCTAACTCGTAGAAATGGACTATTTGTCAATCAAATAGATTAATGGAAAAAGAAAAACGTGGTATTCATTATTCAACCACAAAAAGGGAAAAATTTGAATCCTTTGTAGGAAAACAGATGTACCTTGAGATCATAATGTTAAGTAAAATAAATCAGGCACAAAAGGTTAAATGTTGCATGGTTTCTCATATATGAGAAAAGCAAACTATAAATAAATTTAAGAGAAAAATGAAACGTAGATAACAAGGTGATAGATCTTTTATGAAAGGGAAAGGGACCAAGAGATGGAGAGAGGGTAGAAATGGGAGGGAAAGGAGGTGAAAAAGCATGGAGATGTGAGAGGTACATGAACTGACTCTCCGTGGTAAATGTAATCATTATAGGCATCAAATATATACTAATGAAATTAAATAAAGCTAAAGCAAAAAGACAGAAGCAAAGGAACAAAAATAAAAATTAAAGGAAAAGTCTTCTTGATTTCATAAAAAAAAAAAAAATTAAAGGACCTGGAGATGTAGCTCAGTGTAAAGGCCCTAGGGTCAATATGCTGTGCAGAAAAAATTAAAAATAAAAATAAATAAGCAAATGAATTAAGTTTGAGAAGAGTTCACCACTACAGAGCATGCAGAGGAATAGGGCAGGAGGCAAGAGCACAAAGAGAACGTCAAAGTTACTGTGAGTATTTTAATTCTGAAGTTAAGTGATGAGTTCTGAAGTGATCATTTTAATGTTAGGTTTCTCAGTGTATACAAATTGTTCTTTTTAAATATGTTCCAATTGTCTTTTACATGCTCTAGACAAATATTTACCATTGGCGACAAATTTGGAAAACATTTAAGAACCCAGATGTGGAAAAACAACTGTTACCATTCTAATGGCAGTATTTTGCAAAGACATGATTTAAATGAGTATTCAAAATTTTTGCAGTGTTTGACTATATAACTTCTGTTCTAAGACATAAACAGGTGACAGGCTCAATCATAATATTTTATGCAACTTTGCCAACTTTTGTGTTTTAAGAAAGAGTTTACATTAAGAATATTTCAAAAAGAAGCTCTTGACACAGATCATTTCAACTTGCTCATTAGAGTTCTTTATTTTTAAAATGTGCACAGTCTTATCTCATAGAAACTGGGCCCTTGATAGTCTAAAAAAGGAAAAATCAAATGCTAGAGAAGAGGCCAAATTCAGCAGCTTCAAAATTGCAGAAATAGAGAATCAAATAAATGAAAAATAATAAACACAAAAGTTAAATGAAAGTAAAGATAAAAGAAAAAATAAACACAAAAATTAAATGAAAATTTAAATTAAATAAAAAATAAACACAAAAATTAAATGAAAAATAATAAACACAAAAGTTAAATGAAAGTAAAGATAAAAGAAAAAATAAACACAAAAATTAAATGAAAATGAAGATTTACGAAAAACAATGAAATCAAAGAAATAAAAATGCTTAAAATAAAAACAAAAGTTACAAGAAAAAGTTAAATGAAAATTAAAATAAACACATAGAAAGAAACATTTAAATTAAGTCTTAGAATAATGCTGCAAATTTCCATAGGCCACCCAGTTTTACCCCTTTAGAAACGTAGAGCAAGTTATTGGGAATTTATTAGGTAAGCTTAACTTTCTTCACGTTTAAGGGCTCGCTGTTGTTTTCTGTAAGATCTGTTCTGGTCAAAAGCTATGATTAAATTTTTTATGTGAGTCAGCTTGTTATACAGATATGAACATCTATCACGTTCTTCAGACCAATTGGGGTTAGCTTCCTCTATCTTCCGATACTCTACTGAGAGCTTTTCAGTAATATACTGATATTCTTTTGAATCAGGAGAAAAGAAGCTCCTTTGCCATTCTAGGTGATTAGCTTCTCTAGACAACTTCAGTATTTTGCAGTGCAGGGGGTAGTATTCATCATAATCTGCTCTAAAATCCTGCTCATAACGACGACGCTTCTTAGAGGAATGTATTGTGAAGTATTTACTATAATAATCTGGAGACACAGATGGTAGCGGAGTCTTTCCAGAGGCAGAACTATCTTTGTTAAAGTTTTTGCTTGATTTTGTGCTTGCCCTTTTCTCTTGTTGGTCAGAGTCTGCCTTCTGAGTCTCCATCATGTCAATACTATAATTTTGGATATTTGCTTCAAATTCTGTAAATTTATAATTGGAATTCTCTTCAGACACCCAATATTTTCTCTCCACCATCTCCAGATGATTGTTTTGATTTGAAAGAGAGGCTGACATTTGTGCGGAAATGTGTTCATTTTGCTGACTCCTAAAGATGCTACTGTCTTCAATAATAGTGAGAACGTATGGATCATCAGTCCCAGGACTCTTTGCGGTGCTACAAGAAGTATAGTTGGAATTTAGAGGCAGAGGCGACTGCGAAGTGAGCAGATGGGATGGAGTTAAGGGTACAAGAAAATCTTTGGTAGTATATGAATTGATTTCATTGATTTCAGTGTCATCATGTAAGTGGCAATGTGATGCTGACTCCATTGCTGATGTCAGGTGAGATATACTAAACTCATTTATCATGACATCATTAGTACCAACTGAATTGAAACATTGATCCTCAGGAGAGAATGTGAAGTCGCTACTAGAATCTGGAGAAGATTTTGGATTAGGAAATGGACCTACTTTGTTGGAAAGCACCGACTCCAGTGTCTGCCTTTCTGCCTCATTATATCCTGGCCAGTCTCTTTGGACTTCTGTGAAAGCAGAATCTTTTAAGGAATATGAACAATTTTGGCTATTCCAATTGGCTACCTCATGCAGAATATTTGCAAGGGAGTTTTTCTCATTTTCTTTGATACTATCTTTCTCCAGTCGAATAAGCAGTTCACATTCACTGTAGTCCTTCAACGCCAGTAAATGAAGCACCCTGTCCCTACAAGGCCTTGTAAGGACACTCCTGGTACCTCTTGACTTTCGAACTGTATAAGCAGGGTTAATAGGAGCTGTTCTTTTCCTTATGGGTGCTGGATCTATGATGGGTTTAGGTGCTTTCCGAACTGGTACTTTATTTTGTACAGGTGTTTTTCTAATATGTTGCCATTTATTGCAGAATTTCTCTGCTGTCTGACTCGCTCTTTCTGCAGTCATCTCATGAGACCTGTTTGCTCTACTCACTGTCATTTTATCTTGTATTGATTGTGAGCAACTGGGGTGTGAGTGACTATTCTTTGAGATGGTGTGTTGAGGATGGTCAGTTCTGTTTTGATGGTTATCATAATTCACAATTGACAGCTGAACACTCGATGAGTGCAGACCAGTAGAACAATCATTTGGGGAAACTTTGCTAAGGCCTGGGAGTTTTTGGAGCTCAGGAGAGACTTGAGAAGGCAGTGCATTCTTAGGGTTTTGGAAAAAGCTGCTTTGCTGAGTCACTGACCCGGTAAGCCCCGTGGACAGCCTGGTGACATTGTGCTGCCCTGGCTGGATGCTCCCCGCCTTCTTGCTGGCCATCTGTCCTCCTTGATGTACTCCCCTGGGATGTCTGCCTCCAAAGCCTTTCATATCGTCGTATCTGTAAAGACCAAAGTTGAAAACAGTACGATATTTAAGAAAACAACCAATGGCAAGAATTCACTACCAAAAATGAACTTTTTTGCTGAAAACTGCAGTCACAAAAGATTCTCTCTCAATGGAATAAAGGGCAGAGTACCTGACGGACACAGAATTTGAAGAGCTAAAGTGGGTTGTGACAATGGAAGGACATTCCTTTCACGTGTGAGGTGCTCTTCAATGGGAATGCTATCCCAAACTGCAAAGTGTTAAATGATTGTCTAGGCTCCCTGTACAAAATTCTCTGTCTTCCAGTAACTACAGCACCAAGTGAAGGTAATTGGAGAGGTGATCTACAGGATCCAAAGGCTTTCAGAAAAAAGGAGAAGCCTTTCACCTGATGTGATTGGCGTCAAGTCTTCCCTACAGTAACTCTGACATGTAAGTGAGTGGTTGGTTTCCTTGGGGGCAACTTGCCTGAATACAAGGGCCGCGTTTCATAGATATGTATATTCTCTGAAAGCAAGTGAGGCTAAAACAAATGCTTTCAACATGCCAATTTCTCTTTCTCACCTTTCTAATGCATCGCTGATAAGCTTACCACTTATGATCCTTATTCTACTCGTTTGCACTCTCCCTCCAGAGCATGCACAGCAATTACAAACTTATCCAAGACCTTAACAGTTCCCTTGCCCAGGAAGAAAGGAATCTTTCAGCTGACCATGACACAGGTATACAGTAGAGTCACACAATGCCCACAGGTTACTGGAATTCTGTCTGGTCCGTTCCACTGAGAAACAAAATAGGTCCAACTTTGCCTCCACCCTTTCCCCAGTCTGTTATTTCCTTACAATAACTGGTGCTGCCTCTTTCCATGTAGCCACACAAGTAGAAAGCTTTTGTCATCCTTCCTATCTCCTCAAGTATGCTTCCCATTAATTTTTCCTTGAAAACTTCTAGCCACCACATTTTCTATTTGTACAAAATGTAATTATTGAGCACTTACGATGTACCACATAGTACACTGAATGCTTGGGTATATTGAAATAAACGAAATAGAAATAAGTACAGAGCAACCCCTGCTCCCAGAACTACATTCCTGTCTGCTGTTAGGGCATGACATCGCCAGCGCTCATCAAGCTCTCCAACCCCATGGCCACTGTTGCCTGCTTGACTGCTTGTCTCCAGTCTTTCCTTGTCCTGAATCATCGTCCAAATTGCCTGCCATGATTCCAGTGAACTTTACTTTAAAACTTTGCTTAATTCAAGAATAAAATAAAATTTCTTGGCACAGCATGCAAGGCCTTACTTATTCCGTTGTTATTTCTACAGCTTGTGCCATGAATCTAAAAGATCCATTGATCCGTTTACTATTCTCCAAATACACCCCAAGGTTTTTCCTGCATCATCCTTACACCTGATGCACCCTCTTCCCAATGATGCTCTGCTTCCTGGTGTTGCTTGTGTTGCTGTGTCTAGAGTCCTCAGATGACCATTCTGCCTACAATAGTTCCCTTCACTCACATATAGTACTTTGGCAACTTCTAGGTTTCACTATTATTTTGTCTTTCTTTGAAGTCCATTTACTGCCCAAAATCTTATGACCTACATGTGTTTCTTTCACGTACATTATCTTTACAGAATATAGGCCACATGGCAATTTGCATTGTGTCAGCTTTTGCAGTACTGCTGTATCTTCAGGAGCCAGAATTATGCCTGGAATGCATAGTATTTGTTCAACACATGAATATATCAATGATATTTACTTCTAAGTCACACTTCTGATAGGTCTACTTTGCCAAGTTTCCACTCAACCTAGGTTCTCATCTGGAGTGACACTATACATGTATAATCTCTCTCTAATTGAAAGTAATGCTTCCCTTCCATATAATCCTAAATTACTGTGTGCAACCTCAATGAAAATATCATGCCCTGTCAAACTGATAAGTTGTTTGTGTTCTCCAAGAGATGGTCCTTTATGCCCATAGCATCTCCATTCCAAACTTCTTAGACCCTTTCACATTGTCCCCAGTTCCTCCTTCCAGAAGCAGCAGGTACTTAAGAGAACACAGTCTCTAAATAGGTGTTGAAATAAGCAATTGTAGTACCTTGGCATTTCTCCAAGCAAAGATGTATTACCATCACATCAAGGGGTCATATTATGTCTATTAAGGTCAGACCGATGTTTCATTCCTCTCTAAGCTGCTTTCATATTTCCGTTAACTTCACACTATATTTCCATAAAAAGAGAGTTCAGTGGTGCAGTGGGAACATAAAATCCTTCTTCAGAAAGCCAATGAATGGCTGAGTTACACTCTGCAGTACAGTGTTTTAATATATGTACAAATGGTTTGATTTTTCCTGCAAACCTATAGTAAGCACAGCAAGAAATAATCTACCTTTGCTAAATTTATATCTCTGATCTTGGGAAAGTAAATATTCTAAAGATAGTCCTATTTCCACTAGAGATTTCAACAAAATATGTGTTGGTAAGTAAGTGGAAGGAGGGGCACATTATGAGAAAAAGTACAAAATTATAGTGACAGCCATCAAAGGAGAGTTGAAAACATAAAGAAAGGTTTCATGCTCTCCAAAAAACTGAATGCTCTAAGGATGTCACCTCTTTCTAAATCACAAAGTAAGTTTAATGCAATTGCCATAAAGTTTTCAGCTGAATTTTTCTTTGATTTTCCCCAACTAACAATGAGGAGCCTCTCCAGCCAAAGCTAAAATAATGAACAGAGTGAGGAACTAGCAAAATAGATAGAAAATGAAAGTGAGCATATACAAGACTCACAGAGTCCCATAATTAATAGATATTAAACAAAACCATCAATTATCAGTAGGGAAAATGTAGCTCATTATATAAACACTGCTTAAGACAGGTTGTCAGCATTTTAGAAGAAATAACAAACTGGAATCTCCCTTCATAACATGTTATGAATTGAATTCCACAATATCAGTGTTGTTGACAGAAAACTTGAAGCTTAATAATGATTACAATAATGCCATAAGAAAACATGAGCATAGTTTATCGCATAGAAAATGTTTATCATAATGCACACTCAAATTTTATATCACAAGTCTCAAAGTTACTAGCAAAGTAAGAAAACCTTAAGAAATAATAAAGATATACCTGTTTGGAGGCCCATACAGGAATGATGATTATGACCTTAGTAGTACAGCTGAAATGTTAGTTATTTGAATGATCCTTATGAAATTTAACTATGAAATTGTTGAATGCTATCATAACTTTCGAAGTTTGTAGCAACAGTAAATCGCATTAAAACAAACTATGTAAAGTTGAAATTTTCTTCTAGGTGGTCAAGTTTGCCACAGTAGTACTACACTGTTTAAATGTTTAGTTCAGCAGGTATTGTAGAATTGGATAAGAATAACCAGTAAAATGCTAACACCACTAGTGTGCTTTACGAGGTCATTGGACAATGGTTGCTCCATTCTGAGAAGCCATTCATAGCTCTACCTACATTTCCAGCAAGTGCTGTAGCTGCTAAAATGGCAAAATTTGGATATAGAGATAAAATGGCAGAGCAGTGGGTGCTAGCAGCTTGTCTTTTCCGGGACAAAATGTCTTGGGTCTGGAGCACAGTGAGTTGGAGAGGAAATGATAGGAAACACAAGAACCAATGAGGGAACCAATAGAGGAGAAGAAAATATGGTTAAGCAGTAGAGAAGAGGAGGTCCACGCCGCAGAGGAGAAACCCTGTACAGCAGTGAAATTTCTCTGCTCTCCAAGAGCAGCACCAGGATCAGGAGACTCATATAGTTGATGAAAGCAGGAAGAACAAGAGAATCTGACTCTTGAGGCCTTCTACAGGCAACATTTGTTGAGAAACTGAAGTACTACTGCCCCAGGACACACTTGCACAGAGCAGGCACTGGTGGGGATACCATTGTAGGGAAGGGCTGGGTGTTTTTCCCTCAGTCCCAGAGCAGCCTCTGGGTGGCTTCACACTGCAAAGTTCCCAGAGTGGATGAGGGAAGGACAGTAAAGGGAGATTGCTGGCAATTGGAGAGCAGATTGGGAGAGTCCTACTGAGAGGCAGGGACTGGTGATCATTGACTCTGTTCCTGTGATCAGACACCAGCTTCAGCCTGTGTTGCGCAGGATTGGTGCCATCTTCCCACTACTAATGGGAAACCCAAGCAATATCTTATGGTATGTTATTCCTCAGCTAGCTCTGATACCCCTGTACTGGATTAAGCTCTTACTGCTGTAGTTGAATTGATTACACAGGAATAATGTTGACTCTGGTCAATTTAATGCCGGTGAACATATTTGCTGAATCCACCATCACATCCAGAGAGAGGGACAGCAAGAGTTCCTACCCAAGAACTTGGACTGGATCAGACTTGGCAAAAATGCCTGCAATTTGGCAGAAAAAGGTCCTGAGTCTGACCTAACCCCAGTGGAAGGACCAGAGCAATAACTGAGGTGTGAACAGTCAGACTCTAGCAAAGGAGCTACTCAGGAATCATATGTAGAGTCTCATTAGAATATCTAATCTGTGTCTCCACTGGGTGTCTTATTTAAGTGTTTGTGTATTTCTTGAGTTATTTGGTAATGCAGACTTGTGGTTATTTTAATGGTTTCATATTAGGTTATTACTCTTGTATATTTGTCCTTTGGTTGGCACTGACTTACTAGGTGTCTTGGTTTTCTCCCTTGTCTGAGCTTTTTATCTAGTTTCTTCACCTCAGACCCTTGAGACAATATGATATATATATATATATACTCAAACATGTAAACTCCTCCTCCCAAGTTTCAAAATTCACCATACTTAACCCCCACACAGTCACTCCTAGCTTCACTAATGTAATTCCTCGATCCTCCCCATTCTAAACCTTTAACTCCTCTATACCTTACCTAGCTTATTGGCCACTTTATAAGCTCTGATAACCATATAGTGCTCCTGAATCACAAAGTGAACCTTCTTTCT